CGCACAGAGTTATGAACCACTGGAACTCTACTGTACGATAGACAAACAAGATCAACATATAACTTGGTTTTGCTATGTGATGATTCAAGTTGGCACACCTCATGTCCGTACATCAAGCAAGAATGCACTGCGATGTAAAATTACGGAATTGAAAAGAAACCAGTCAAAAGTAGCGGAAAGTCATCAAAAGAGGCCAGGGAAAAATAAAAGAATACTGAAATTCAGTTTGACGATTAAGATGAGGTTAGTGTCTGGATTCATCTGTGCCTGTCACCTAGAGTCTCCAACCACTGGTTTCTGTTGTTACGCAGACCCCAACCGAGGAGTCTTCCCCTAAACTCCTGAGACCAACAGTCAGTAACTGTAATTTTTGGAGACCCTATCCTAATGTTCCATTCAAGATCCGACTGGACAGTAGGCAACAGAATAGTAGCCAATTGGATTGTCTCTCCCATTGTCCCAGTCGTCTCCCCTACGGGCGAATTATAGACTCATCGTTTTCCGCTTTAGTTTCACTAACCACTGACCTTTTTGCCCCCTGTTTCCTCGATACGTCTGAATAAGGTACCTACTGTTACATATCTTCGCTGCATTTTCCATCTCTAGCCTTTTCTACTCACCACTGTTCGCTGTCATTGCGTAGACTTCTTGTCAGTCTGTATTTAAGTTGCTCCCACTAATAATTCTGCCGAAAGCCTGTTGGGATGCGTTCGCATGCATTCAGCTATTCAGAAGAAGCTTTTGAGATCCATTGGTTCTTACTGACCACTTTACGAAATTCATATACAGTCTCCAACGTTGTTTTTACAACAGACTAAAGATGGTGCTTAGCTTCGTCTAGGTGAGCAATGTCCTTTACCAATAACTATCTAGGTGATATCTTGCCGAAAGCTGTCTCAATATTCTTATCGTCAAGCAGCATTCACAACGGTCTTGCTGCTGTAATTTCCCCTTATCCATTCAGACGCAGTTATATGCATACTTGAACCAGTGCGTGGTTGCTTTGAATGAGATGCACTTACTAACTTTGTGCACTAGGCAATGAGCCACGCCTAGTGTGTGAGGGCTGATGATACTACCTGGCTGTCCAAACCTCGGTAGGTGGGGCGGGGCTCAGACCTGTGAGCCCTTGGTTGAAAATTATCTCCCTAAACCAACAAGCCACAGTCCCACTGTGATTGCTGTTCAAGCACGTGATCCAGTAGGAGCGGCAGTCAGCTACTGACCCTTTCCAGCGATAGCCTTATGGTTTGTCTGTGCCTATCGCTGAGTTGAGGTCGGTGGAAGCCACGTCAGATAATATCTCTGTCTGAAGTTCGTGCTGGTTAGGAATAGATGGTTGTCTGAGCAAAGTTGCAGCAGGCTATTGCCGCTATTACCGTTCTTTCGGGCGGTATTCCGAAAGTACCTTTTTATCCGGCTTAGTTTATCCACTTGTACATAAAAATCGCTTGCTACTACAACCACTTCTGAACGTTTGCCTTTCAGAAGCAGGCTAGACAGTTCACAGAAGAACTCATGCTTCACTTCATCCGAACTTCTCAGTTGGTGTGTAAGTGGAGATTACAAAGAGGCAACGGTAAATTTCGTTCTCACTGCTGTTCAGTCTAACAGCGCATAAGCGACTGTCAAATGGGATCCAGTCGGGCAGTGCAGTTTCTGCCTTGATGCTCAGTGATTTATCTATACCTGTAACACCACGGGAACTGGCCACTGAATCTCCAGAAACTCGAAAAATGAAATTTGGGAATTCACCATATTGACCGGAGAAGTAAAATAAACGACTGCACTTATGTCCTGTATAGGTGTTTCGCAAGCAAAGCACACATTCATGGTCGGAGATGCCGGAGTTTTGACTGACTAGGCCTGTTGACGACTTGACGTGCCCTGAGAGGTTGGGTGTGAAGTTAGGAGTGCAGTTTCAGGAGACCGAGGATGCTGTTCCGTGAATTCATATAGTTGTTGAGAGCCGGAAGAAATTAAAGATAACATAAGATTAGTAACCGAGGCATGTGAAGGAAGAATAAGAGGCAAGGATATGGAAGGTGGATAGTGATCTCAGGGAGTTTCAGTGCCGACAGAGTTGTGAGGGTGGTTGATACCTGTCGGTTGCCCACACTATGGAAGACAAGGTATTCTTCAGATGCCTGAAATAGAAGGGTTAGCGCATGACTGCATAACCCGAGGGACATCTGCTTGAGGTCGGCCATATGCGACCTTTTTAGAAGTTTGAGATTTAAGTTCATTAGTTTTGACTCCGAATATGGATCCATATCACTGACATCGGTGTTCTGCGGGGTGATAGAAGTTTGCCCTCTCTAAGAACGACTACTTCTAACCCGTTTTCCCATTGGGAAGAAAGTACCAGCATGGCACTGCTGGTCATCCGCCGGAAACAACTTACTGTTGTTACACATCCAGCCAGCAGCACAACTTTACCCCCGGATCCTCATCGTATCGTAGGAATGTACACTATAACGGTAACTGCTTCTGTCTTACCACTATCTGACAGAGCTTTCCGGTGTGCGAGGACCACGAGTGAACAAGCGTTATATCATAGCTTGGTGGGCCATTGGTGATATACAAGCTCAACCACCACACCAAGGTTGATACTTTTAAAACGAGATTGGATTTCCATGGTACTAGCGCGGGCAAGGACTAATATGGGTCATTGGCCTTTGATCCTTATTCCTGAAAACTGAAGGTTTAGTGGAAGGTGCTTAAGTGTCGCAGTCTTTGAATGGGATAAGCAAACTTTATCGTCAAGCTCATCAATGCAGGGTCACTTGTAAAAGTCTAAGAGATGACTCTCAAATTACTCATTACTGCTGGCTACGGTAATGGGGTTGAAGGTACTCAATCTTCTTCTAGAATGATTAGGGGGTAAGAATTATAATACACATGTATGTGTTGACTGCAAGAAAGAAAATGCAAAGTATTTGCATAATTCCATTAAAATGCATCTAGTTCGCATACCGCTGACATTATTTTCTTTTTTATTCCTTTAAACTTCGTCTTCCTATGTGCTCACCATCTTCAGCAGGAAAAACCAACTCTTAGTTAATTGTTCAAACTACCATATTGTTGCTGCGTTGCCTTAGAAGAATGAAATTACAATCAAAATATCTTTGGAGTAATCAATCAGCTTTCAGTTCTCTGTTTACCAATAACATACAAATATCATGCATGAAAATACGAAAATAGTAACCAAGTTAATATCTTATCTGGGAGTAATGGCGTAAGATTGCGCTATCGGTACTTCCATTTCTTTTGATAATTACTACCTCTAATTCCCGCTATCCAGAAATGAAGATATACCCCATTTGTCTTCCCTGTAAGATAAGGGGTTCAAAGATACTCTTGTGGGTCCGTCACAACCACTTAAAACTGCAAAATAATAAACTGCTGAGTGACCTAAAATTATATCTACAGATGATCTCGGCCAGGACTGAAGCTTCTGGAGGCAATGATCGGTCTGTATTCACCTGACTGAGTTTCTATAAAAGAATAAGAGGTAAGTTTTAATTTTCAAATTATTTCTGTTTAGCTATTATTGTTAGCGGGTTTGTATCTGCGTATCTCAGAAGGATGCAAAAGTCCTGGTTGGTGTTACCATCAAGAACTATTCCCACAATGAGGGATTTGATGAACAAGTCCAACAGTCGCTAAAACGTGAATCCATAGCTGTGTCTTGATTTGTCAGCCGTATACGGCAACATACTAATAGTAAATTATATCTACCATGTATGATGACCCTACAAATTCCTTTTCATTTTGTAATTTCATAGCAGATGATAACAGTAAAGTTACCAACTGCACTTTTCTTCTTAACGTGTATTATTTTGCTTCTTTGAATACATATAGTGTCTCTTTGGTCTTAATTTCATTTGGCTTATTCAATATCAAGCGATGTTGTACAATATGAAAGCATCGGTGCTCCGTTATTCCTAGGCAGTAAATGAGACTTGTTTAAAGGCTGTACTGTGACAACGATTACCGTTCCTACATATGATGAAAATTGGTTCCGTTGCGCATTGTTAAAGAGAATTTATACGTAACCGTAGGGAAGTCAATGCGGTGAGAGGATGAACGTTGCAAAAGCAAATCAATTATCCGGAAGCTAAGGGAGAATGACGCGGAGCGTGCCAGTGACTTGTCATTTTATCTTGGTAACAAGCACGAAACCTATTTCGAATGAGGCCTCCTGCTGATTAACTGGTATCTAGCACCCAAATTCATTGTGTGAAAGGACTTTTAATTGAAGAGTCTTATTAAAAGACGATAACTTCTAGGTGATATGTATAAAGTGCTTTATTATTTTAAATAATTAGAAGTCGTGGATTCATACATACTAAATGTACTTTGTTTAGTTGCAAACTTCAGTGCAGGTATTTCTCCGATGACCATCAAAGTTGATATAGTTAATGTACTTACTGCTTTCAACAGTCAACAACATATGATACATCGCAATCAATAATCTGAAAGGTGAGTCATAGCATACTTTTCGAATCATCACTGTGTTCAGTAGGTTCTGCGTTATATCGCATTACAGAAATAACCTTATATTAACGAATTACCTTGATATATGCGAGTCATTTTCTGTGAAGTCAGAAGATGTAGTTACGTTTGTGATCATATTAATGAGAACAGAATATACATGCCTGACAGAATTAAGGCTTGAATACTTCTAACAGTCGCTCCTAATTGGTGTTGACACAACTGTGGCTTTCAGATAAAAGAGCGATGTACTTTGCCGGTACTAGTTTCAGTTAACCAACTTCTACATTATCCTTGGACCAAAAATGTGACCGGTGGATGGCATCGGTTTTCCTGTACCACAAACTTCACCATGGCATAAAAATCTAATATGAATCAAATGTAACCTAAACATGCCTAGCTTTTACCGTTCCCTTTGATATATGTCGTGTAACTCGTGAAAACAGGTTAATACAGCTTACATATCGGTGATTTTCATGGGTTTCTCCTTTTTGCTTTCTTTTCATAATGGACTTGCGGGGAATCTCCGTTCCTGATTCGCTAGTCTTCTCAACTTCAACAAGTGTATGGTCCGCTCTGCTGTTTTCTTCAGGTTTCAACTAGATTGCGGGTGAACAAACTGTAACCAAACGTTGGTTGAACTATTTCCCTAGTGTTCTGCATTTGTCAGTAGATCACCAGTCACAGTCTTCATGCGTATAAACGAGTAGAAATAACTACGACATCTAGAACTTTCACTATCCATTATAACAATGCTGAGTCTCAGCTTGTATAATTAAGTTTTCTCTTGTCATTGTGACCGTAGTCTATTTCAAATCCGTGTGAGCATCAAATTGGATATACAGCGAATAAAATAATAATGTTCGGCAAAACTGTTCAACACCATACGTAAACCATGTGTTATTTATTCAAGCAGCCTTGCTACTACCTGATTTTCAAAAAAGACATACGAATACCCGACCAGTGTACTTCTATGTACTATGACTGTGAAGGAAATCCTATAAAGCATACAATGCCTATTAAAGCTCTCTACTCGAACTCACGCAGCTGTACCACGGCTTATGAAGAGTTGTCATCACAACTGGCGGTCTTCAACATGGATGTTCGCTGCCACCTTTCTTAATTAACTTGGTCATAGAAGTACTAATGGACACAACCTTAGATACTTCTCACTTCACATGGATTGACCTACTCCCCGGCGGTCATCTGGCAGGAGATATTGTCCTGCTGGGAGATGCTGACAAAATGCAGGACGTTTTGAACGTGTTGAGCATAAATCTGAGTATGTTTGGCATTCTTCTCGCTGCCAAATGTGAGATGATGCTCCTCGACAGGTCCGCTGTAAGTACTCCCAGTCTAATGATCGGCAATGTGTCGAACACTTCACTTACTTGGAGAGTTGCATCACCCCGGACGGGTTGGTTGCTGACGAGACCTCAACTCGAACACAAGACCTGTGTGGCACTTGCCGACTGGTAAGACACCCGACTATCTATCAAATGTCGAGTACACTACGTTGCGATCCATTCTGTCCTTATGCACGACTGTGAGGCATGGCTGCTAAAAGTAGAAGACATGAAGCGACTACAGGGTTTCGATCATAGGTGTCTTCGTAGAATTGCTCGCGTTTGGTGAAAGCACCATATGAGCAACATTGAAGTCAGGTGAAGGGTACTAGACAATACAGGTTGTGAACCTTCATCGACTGAGATGGCTTGGGAATGTACTGCGCACACCTCGACGTGTCATTCCAGGATGAGCTGGGAGAGGGTTCAAGGTGGCCAGAAGAAGATCTGGCACCAGTCAACAACGAAGTCTCTTACTGTTGGTCTGAGCCGTATGGAGATGTAGGCTACTTGGTTGGGTCCTCGAGACGAAAGGAACTGATGGTTGAGGACTTTTGGCGGCATGACCGAAGATCGGTGACAATAGTGCAGATGTATTCACTCCTTAACACCTAGAGTTCGGATATTCGCACTAACCTTTGTCTTCAGATTACTTATTCTCTTACAGTTGTTTATCTACTTTGATATGTCTCTTGTTTCCACCTGTTCTTTGTGAACTATTGTAGGGTGTAATAAATTGAGCCGATGCGTTTTTGTTGAAGGGCCTGCGACGATTTTCCTGGTCACTCCTATTACAGGATACTTTGAAAAACAGTGCCGACGTCCTACGTAGCATCAGCTAACAAGTGACTTGTTTACTGCTACTTTGCGACTGTCGAACGGCAAGTAAAGCGTTAAATACCAGCGGGCGAATAGATGAAAACTGCGAAAAGTCCCTAGAAGGCACTGCATTCTCGTCCCATAACGCAAGATTATCAACTAGAGTACAGTCAGTGGTGTACCTTCCTGTGTCATACACAAGATGATAGGAACTCACTACTAGCATTATTGACTTCCTACACTGTCTGATTTATGTCAAGTAAACACCATAGACTGACTGTTGTATGCACGTTTCAGAAACTCAACATACAATGACTGGGCATGACGGAGTCCCGCCATTACGCTTTCTTCTCACTGTGACACAGGAGGCAGACATTAAATGCCTGTTATCAGTTTCCATAGGGTTCCAAGTTGAATGGCTTAGAAACAGCGATGCAACTTGACCCGACCTCATGTTACACCTCAGAATTAGCTTTGGTTCCCGTCTTGAGTTTCTATTGTTGCCTCCACCATATTGTCTTGAATGCGTACGTGTTGTGAGGTGTGGTGACATGAACCACTGCATTCGATATCAATTGCTTATGGACACAGAAAAGTGACGCTTCCTCCAGCAATTTATTACTGGCAAGCCCACCAACTTGGTCACACGGGTTTGAGGTATAATACCATGGTGAGTAACTAACAGAACCGAGACAATATTGTGCCAGTAGACTTGTTATATATATTTAATAAGCATAGGTAAACTTATACTTACACTGAGTTGATGTTCAATGACACATTACGTCGATGTCAGTCATTCGTAATATTTTTTTTATAACGCAACGCTTTCAGGAGAATTTAGCTTTACTGATTTTATTCTTGTGTCCAAAATTACTTCATTACCCATTAGTTCGACTGTTCTGAATACATCACACGGTTTAGATTATGTCCTTTAATTTGGTCAAAATTCGGTTTGACTAGTGATCATAATAAAGTAGGAACGAGTGGTACTTGGTTATGAGTCTCCTAAATTTCTAAAGGCCGATATTGAATGCGTAATTCACATACGAGAAAAAAATTAACACACAGTCATCTACGAATCCAAGACTAACACACCAAACTGACAATTGCCGATTAATTATCTTAATCTAAAAGCTTAGTTTATACACAATGGGATTTCCTACGCATAACTACCGGAAGCAACCAGGAATCTCGAAGACTGTAGTTAGCTTGGCTAGTATCAAGAGTCGTCTACAACGAAATGGAAATCAAACTAAACAAGAAACAGTTCGCTCAATCGCTGTCAATTTTCGTCGAGATTAAATTGACAGTTGTATTGACGATGACTCAGGAAAGAACCTTAGCGCTGAGTGAGCATAAATCATAACTGACAGCTTCATCCAAAGCAACACCTTCCAGAGATCTTGCACACATATACACCCAGTGCTTTCAAGTATGTAATAATACTGTTACCACTACTCAATACAAATAACGCATCATCACTTACGTTGCCATGCCATTAGTAGAAATGAAGATACCAGAACGGTTACCAACTTCGTAAAAAACCCAAACTATGAATAACAAAAGTCAAACGAGTGAAGAATTAAACAAAGTGCTGAATGAAACACGACAAGATCCCAGATAGGTAGAAGTCACATTTCATCAATCTAATTCCATATTTTCTTCATTTTTCTCAGTCTTTTTGGAATGATTTGATTTCGCATTGCAATCTGCGTTTGAGTTATTCATATTATTGCATTGATCAGAATTGTGAGGATTGGGAATAGATGGCTCATCAGCACGACCCGCAGGCGTTGGTTTTGGAGTATTGATAATAGGGTGGCACACTGATTCCATTGCCTGAAAATGACCAAATATTGGTTTAGATAAAACTTTATTGTAAATAGCGTGATAAAAATCATGCACAGCAATCTTTCCAACTATTGAACAGAGCATAGCAAGAGGAATTATTCGTATGCATATTAGTATTTCCACACTTCGAGATACGGAACACTGCAACATGTATATGTATGCGTATAGACTATTGGAAAGCCGGTGAGTAACTGAGCCAAAAGGCTGAGATCCAACTCAGCCAATATAGAAATCTTATGATTTCGAAATAAGCAAATCAAACTTAATTTGTTGTTAACTCATTATGAAACTGATGTACAAAGATTAACGCGCGAACAAAATCATAAAAATATAGCTTACTTGTTGCTGAGACACAATTTCTGAAACCTTAACAACTGGGTCTGCCGTTTGTGGTCGAGGGTTTTGCTGCAGCATTTGTTGATTTAACCAGCACTCATATTGAGCTATCATGTTCTCTAGCTGATTAACCTGTTCAGGCGTTAGGTGGTCATATGCCGGTTCTCCAGCCGCAATGCTGTCCAACACTTTCCTTATATGCTGTTAAGGAAAATTTGGGAAATAAACATTAGCGAATTTAAATCTCAAGGAAGAGCACGATGGCTTGATGGAAGGCATATGTATTATTTCATTGAAACATAATATATTTGCTTTATTCCGAACCTTGATTTTGCTTACAGTACAGAGTTCTCAGCACGTAATACAGAAAAAATGTACTCAATGTTCTGCATTTTCCAAGTTTCTTAAATGATAATAGTCTGTGACAGCTTACAAATATTAATAGCATTGTAGCTCAAGGTTAGTGGGGATTTTACTTTCAAGGTAGCATTCATCATGGACTGAAATCAGTTGGAGAACCATTAGGAACCTGGGAACACTAAGCAGTTGTCTCATCCTAGTATCGGCAGCAGTACGCACCCATGGATCGAACTTAGTATCTTAACAAAGTCAGCATATGTACACTCAGTGATGAAGATGAGTTCCGTAGAAATTGTGAAACCTCCCGCGCATCAGGAATCGAAACAAAGGGAGGTCTGCAGAAGGAATTACAAAACAACGTAGTAAGTTTGACTAACATATTGGAAGTACTCTAATATTTTGGAGTGCGACTTTTTGAGATACATAGCTACCCTGTTGATTGGGGTTTGTATCGGAATGCATAAGCCACAAAATAGTATAATATCTTAACTTGTACAAATGAAAAATTGGTTGATTCCTTATATCTATCTATGACAATGAGTGAAACTCCGGTAGACCCAACCACTGCTGCTAATGTAACTCAGTAGTGATAGTAGCAGTAAAACCCTACATAATACATGCAGTTATAGATACTCAAAAAGACTGAGTGAATGTTGTTGAAAGATCTGCAAAAGTGCTTTAAATTTAATTACTCAATCCGTTAGACCCATAACTCATCTCAGCATGGTATTCACTGCCTCTATTTAGCGGCACCTGTCATCATTAGACTATTGTATTCAAATAATTCATCTGTGAAGTTACAAATAAATGGTATACATGAGCTCAACGTTTTAAGACACCCGCAAATATCAGAGAGAAGTATCGTATCGTAATGCACTTAGCAACCTTATGCACATTCATGCAGTAGGCAATGATCTATACTTGTGTGCGGCCTAATGATACTATCAGGCTGTCCAACCCTCGATAGGTGGAGATGTGGCCCATTGGTGGAAAATTAACTCCCTAAGACAATAACACAGCTCCACATCAAAAAGAAGTACCTGATGCCACTGCATATTCAATTCAAAGTCCGAGGTTTGTGGAGTGGGCCCGTTGGACAATCAGCTAGTTCGGTGAGAATATCCAGTCCCAAATAAAAATCAGTGATACACCAGAACAGGACTTCATACTGGCCACATAAGTAGCTGTTAAATTTTAACATACTGTTGTTGGAACATTTGGTATGAAATGTGTCGTCCTATTTGTGTTATCACTACTACACTTAATTGCTGAAGGTTATTAAAATTATAAACACTGTGAAGTTTGTTTTGAGATGCTGAACATTCGATTTTGTGATATCTAATGCACATACTGGGAGTAACTGTATCGGGTAAGATCAGGTAAAACAAAAGGTAGATTTGGAGCCGTTGAAGGTCATCATCATCAATATCAACATAGGACTAGGCACCACTGCGTAACGGCCAGAGTTGCCACAGCTCAGTACAGTACATCTAGTAGAAAGGTAGTGAGGTGAAAGATGACGATAAGAGAATTCAGTCAAAAGAAATATAAAGTACGAGAAGAAAGAAAGGAGGAATGACAAAATGGTGAGATTTGGTATAGCGTCGTTAAGATGAAGATAATGTGTGTGTAAACATCTGCGTCACTGACATCGGTTCTGAGCCATGTGATCACCTAGAGTCTCCAGCCACTAGTTCCTCTTGTCACGCGGACCCCAACCACCTAGTCTGCATCGCCCCACATAGCTCAAACCAACAGTTAAACACTTCATAAATTGATTCCATGTTTTAGTCTGGCCACCTCGGGCCTTTTTCCAACCTGGACCTACTTCGGCCAACATTGTGTGACGAGGCAATCGGCGACCGGGCATACGTAACACGTGTCACAACCATCTCAGTCGATGAAGGCTCATAACCTTGTCAACTGACTTACCTCTACTCCCTAGGACTCTGCACTTAACTTCTGCGTTACTCACCTGGTGACACTATGGAATACGTCCTATACTGCGAAGGCAACGGTGGTCAAACACTTGAAGCCTTCTCATGTCTTACACCTTCAAAGGCCATGTTTCATGGCCATACAGCAGAACGGATCGGACTGCTGTGCAGTACACGCGACCTTTAATAGACAAACGGATATCACAGCGGTGCCATAGGTGGCGTAAATCGGGAAAAGCCAATCGAGCCTTCTGTATCCGTGCAGAGATTTCATCGAGCACTGAGCCACCACGGCTGGTCCTACTTCCTAGGTAAGTGAAGTGGTCGACACACTCAACCACTTCACTCTCTATTGTTAGCCACGGCACCGCTGAAGACCAGTCCTGGAGCAACAACTTGCATTTGGGTGGTGAGAACAGCATACCAAACATTTTCAAATTCCCACTCAAAGTATTCAGAAGACTCTGCATCTTGTCAGCGTCTTCACCTAGTGGGACTGTGTCATCTGCATACTCTAAGTCTAACGAAAATTCACCTGTGATTAGGTCAACGTCTGTGTAACCTGGTGACGAGAGGGAGACCTCTATAAGAGTATCTATGATGAGACTGAATAAGAATGGAGAGTGGGCGCCCTTGACGGACACCACTCGAAGAGCACAGCTCCCTGGACAACTTGCCATAGGCTCTAACACGCCCGCAAGTGTTCGAGTAAAGAGCCTTCAATGAGATGATGTACTTACTCGGCACGCCTTTCAGTGACAAACATTGCCATAAGACTTCTCGATCAACGGAGTCAAATGCCGCCGATTTCAGGTCGAGAAATACAGCTATTGTCGGACGTCTGTAAGCATGCCTATGTTCCAGGACCTGGCGCAGTGTGAATATTTGGTCGATACACTTGCGGCCAGGTCTAAAGCCTGCCTGGTTTTCTCGGGCTTGCTGTTCCCGAGCTCCACTCAGGCGTCGGAGAATTATAGAACCTAGGATCTTAGACACTATGTTCGTCAGGCTGATTCCTCTGTGGTTATCACAAGAGGACTTCTCGCCTTTCTTGAAGACTGGGATGATCAGTGACTTAGACCAGTCGGAGGGGATCGTATTTGATTCCCATATACTGGCTAACACTTCCGTTAACCTGACTAAGAGCACTCTACCACCATTCTTGTATACCTCAGCAGGTAGTCCGTCTGGTCCTGCTGCCCTTCCTCGTTTCAGGTTACCTACCGCTTTCTCAACTTCTTCTAGTGTTGGGGGACCTGTCTCTATGTCCCATTCAGGATCCGACTGGATAGCGGGCAACGCAATGGTGGCTGGAGGCCAGTTAAACTGTTCCTCCAAGTGTTCTGCCCATCGTTCCAGTCGTCTCCCCTGCGAGTGAATCGCAGATCCGTCCTTCTCCGCTATAGCCTCACTAACTGTTGTTGACCATTTCCCCCCAGTCTCCTTAATAAGTCTAAATAACTGTCTACTGTTACCGATCGCCGCTGCCTTTTCCATCTCTTTAGCCTTCGCTGCCCACCACTGTTCACGATCGTTGCGCAGACTTTTCGTCAGTCTATTTTTAAGTTGCGCTCGCTCTTCATTGTACTCAGAGCCTGCAGGGATGCATTCACGTGCATCCATTAGTTTGGAAGAAGCTGCTGATATCCACTGGCTCTTTTTAGCCATTATTTGGAGTCGGCTACAGTCTTCAGTGCTGCTTTTACAGCAGACTGAAGATGGCACCAAGCTTCTTCTGGATGAGTGACAGTCTTTTGTTCCGATAACTGCCTAGCCAACTTCTCACTGAACACGGCTTTGGTGTTTTCGTTGTCCAGCAGAACTCGTAGTGGTTTTGTTGCCAAATTTTTTCTACGTCCATTGAGACGCAGGCATATACGTGCTCGGACCAACGCATGATCGCTGTCCAAACACGTACTCCAGAAGGAGCGGCAGTCTTCCACCGATCCTCTCCAGCGATGACTAATAGCAATGTGGTCTATCTGTGTCCATCGCTGAGTTGAGCTCGGTGGACGCCAGGTCAGACAGTGCCTTTCTTTATGTCTGAAATTGGTGCTGGCTAAAAATAGGCGGTTATCTGAGCATAGTTGTAATAGGCGATCACCGTTATCTGTACGTTCAGCTGGGATTCCGAAAGTGCCACCTAAGTGCCTTTCTGCCTCACTCAGTCTACCCACCTGTGCGTTGAGGTCACCTGCAACAACCACTACGTCCGAACGTTTGGCTTTCGAGAGGAGGTTAGACAGTTTATGGTAGAACTCGTCCTTCACTTCATCCGAACTACAGTCAGTGGGTGCGTAAGCAGAGATTACAAAGAGACAACGGCGAGTCTCACTATTCCTTTTAGTTCTCACTGTGCCGTTCAGCCTCATAGCGCAGAGGCGACTATCAACTGGGATCCAGTCTAGTAGTGAGTTTTCTGCCCTGGTGCTTAATGCTATACCTACACCTGCAAGACCACGAGAGCTAGCTATCGAATCTCCAGAAACTCGAAGGGTGAATTTTGCGGATTCACCAGATTGGTCAGGAGAGGTCAGGTGAATAACCACACTTGGGTCCTGTATGCGTGTCTCACAAACACAGCACACATCCATGCCCGAGTTGCTAGAGTCTTTGCTAACGAAGCCTGTTGGCCAATTTGACGGAGGGTGCGGACATTGAAGGCTCCAATATGTAATTTGGAGCGTGGTTTAAGGAGACCAGGGATGCTGTTCTGTGGACTCAGATCGTTGTCGAAGGCTGCAGAGGTAGGAGAAATTGAAGATGATGCAGCATCATTAATTAAGAGACGTGAAGGAAGATTAGAAGGTAATGATGGAGGAGGTGGATAGCAGTCAGAAGAAACTTGGGTGCTGACAGAGTTGTGAGGGCGGTTGACACTTCCCGGCTGCCCACACCGTGGAAGGCTATTTCTTCTTAAGGTACCTGAAAGAGATTTGTGTGACCGCAGAGCCCATCGGACATCTGCTTGAGGCCTGTCACACCCAGCCTTTTGAGTATGATTATTTTGACTTTTGTATTTTTGGGGCCGGATGGTCGAAAGGAAACGACAAGTGAACCAACACCGCCGGCCCGGCAGACCGTGGGGCATGGTGGAGTGTGTTATTTTTGGGGCCGACCTTTTCTAACCCCCCCTTCCACTGAGAAGGCAGCATCAGCATGGCACTGCTGGTCATCCAAGGGAAACACCTTACTGCTGTCACACCCCATCCAGCTAGCAGCAGTACGACTTCGCCCTCAGACCCCCATCATAGTGTAGCAATTTACACTACAACGGTAACTGCTTTTCGTCTAACCACTATCCAACAGACCTTTCTGGTATGGTAGGACCTCGAGGGAACAAGCTTTCCACCAGTATAGCTCGTTGGGTCATTGTGATATGCAAGCCCGAACACCACGTCAAGTTAGCAGTTTATTGACGCTTGCTATATCCTAGCAAGCCACACACATCTTGAAAATCCACGTGCAGTAAGCAATGAGCCACACCTACTGTGTAAGTTGGGTTTAAGTTGGGAGCAAAATTCTGGTCAGTGAACCACTTAATTTAATCAGATATGAGACTGAGTGTTTCATCACATCAGTAAAGCCTTACAAAATATGTAACGATTCACTTGGACAGCCCCAAACGTTTTTTTGAAACGGATATCCCTTACAACTCCATAAGCTTCATGAAATCATTGTACGAAAGTACCTCACAGAGAAAAGCATACAACTAACAACTACTCTGGCACCAGCGACACACATGAGATGCCTCTGAAGGCGCGTGATTGAGTTCCTTCAGATATACTACCAGGTGAAAAACTTTTCTAGATTCAGTGTCCTGTTAATACTACAGTGTTACAAGAATTACTGTAATTGTGTATTAGATATAGTATGCAGTAGAATGGTATCATTTACCAGATGGCGGTTTCGAGCACAACTTTATTGCTCACAATCATTTCCTTACTAAGGTCTTTATAGTCCCACTCCTTTACATTCATTACTCTTAAAGGCCGTTGGATTCTTCATTTATCTGGAATGTAGTCATTCCAACTAAATTTGTTAGTCGCAGACTCGATGAACAAAGACACGGTGCATAATCTGTTCATCTACCTAACCATATTATCTTTTGGTAGAGTTGCGTTGTCTCATCCTGCTGTTTGGTTGCATCATTACATACACAGGGATTTTTCCTGGATCACTGATCTCTGAGAAATGTCTAAATTTGGCCAGCTTGCTATGCTTTGATAATTTAACTAGTCCAACCAATGTATCTGAACGCAGAATTATCACATGACATGTCGTAATCAACCTATTCTACCGAATCCGGTCACTGGAATTGTTAAGTTGACAAAGTTTATATGATTTTTAGCTTTGCTAAAAGTTCTAGGTGGTTTCTGGTGTTCCTTCTTTGTATAATAATAAAAAGGAAGTCTAAAATTTCTTTCTTTGTTAACCGTTACCGTTTACAATACTAAGATTAACTTCGTGTCTCGAGTTCTAACGAATTTCCTAACAAACCCGGAGGATAATGGTCAAGTATTGTTTGTTGTCTCCAATTTTGTACCGGTGTTGTTTTATTTACTGGCGAGCTCCCTACCTCCACTACTTAAGCACCTCACTAAACTTGCTTCCATTGGTACTAGATTCGTTTGTCTAAAGTACAGTTAGCTTTTAGTGTTGATTTCTTGTAGAAGGTAATGTCCTTCATCTTACTTAGCAATTCCACACTAATTTCTTTTTCCTTTCATCGAATCAACACCCAACAAGTGAGAGAATTAACGCAACACCGACCCCGAAAATGTGGAAAACCTAATTACCACTAAGAATAAAGAATAAAAGTTGATAATCTATGAAAATGATAATGCCCATTGCGATAAAAGTTTTAGACTGTAAATACCAGGTGTTGGAAGTCGTTACTGTGAAGGAAAGGAACAAATTTGTGCATTATGCAATAAGCCACACCTACTATGTGAAGGCTAGTGACACTACCTGGCAGGTCAAATCTCGCTTAAAGGAACGGGATTCGAAACCATGACTCACTGGTTGCCATCTCCCTAAACTACTACTTTGATATGATTACGCAATAATCTGTGCTCCAAGAGTTTTTCCGGTGAATTATACTGTATCACTGTCTGCTATATCAGATAAAACAAACTAGATATGAAATTACATCTTACCAGTGACCAAGTCTTATATCAAACTATTTAATTAGCTAACAACCAAAGATTTTATGGTATTTCGTACATGTGCTCTCGGCTGGCAAACAAAGTCATTCAGGTAACTGAGTACTGATGATACAAGTCAGTTATTTTTAGAGCTTTAGTCAAGGCGATGCACCTTAACCTGCGTAGTCTTTTGTGTAGTCATGACTAATTTGAGTTAAACTTTGGGTGAATAAACATGCAGAACCTCTTCCTGTATAAGATGTCCTATTATTTTGTAATCAAACACCTCTCTAAGACTTGAAGGAATCCCTACACGGTTCTCAGACTTGGTATCAAGTGCTTTGCCTGGAGATTATGGTGCAATATGTTATGTTTATACATAACTCAACCCGGCACACATATGTATGCACTAGGTTGAGTCGCACTTGTCATGCGAGGGCAGATATATTACTAGCCGGTTGTCCAGGTGGAAGCAGGTTGAACAAGTTTTCAACCCGGGACCCGCTGCTTGAGAATCGAGTACTTGAACCAATGTGTCACATTTCCACGATGAAGGGTGGTATTAACATTCTTTTGACTTGTTATTTAAAAACGAATTTATCAGGTGAATTAATGAAAATTTAGAACAGCAAGCTGAAACCATCATGACTCACCACAAGTGACCGATTGAAATTCTCAACTGCCAGAGGACGATTCAGGTGCTCGTTTGCTCGATGAAGAACTGGATCACCTTTATGCTTTAATTCAGTGAGCTTCTCCAAATAAACCTGACGCTTAACATCTTCACCCTCGCCATACAGCCACTCTTCTGTTGCATCCAATAAACGTAATATTGATTCTGATTCGACAGGTGGTGAAAAAGGATTTAATGGACCTTGAAGTTTAGAACGCATATCATATACATACTCCTCAACGGCATTTTTCGCACTAACTCTTTCTCGCTCCATTTTATCGCGTTGAATGAGATCAGCCTACCATAATAAAAATAAATGACAGAGAGAACTTATTAACCTAGTAGATTTCTTGTCTCAAAAAGGCAGATGAAAACAAAGCAAAGCTTGATGCACTCATTCAGACAATGCCATAAATACACGTCCCAGCGACAACTGTTCAGGGTTTAAGGTATGTTCAAAATGTTAGCATGGGTAGTAAAACCATATTCTTTTTCATGCTCGATCACTTACCAAACATTTATAGAATGGAGGTCATAATTACCTACTAGCTACCGAAATGCATTCACAAACGCTGGAATTAGGAAATGAAAAAACCTACCTTTTGGTACATCCATTCCAAACGTAATCTAGAAAAAGGTAACTGCACCTTACGCTTTTCCGTAGGCAAATCTAGAACGAAGTGCTATGAAGGTATTAAGCGCGACCCTTACGGTATGTAGACTACCATAGCAAATTAGTGAGCTGATCAGAGGCATGAGATGAATTAAGAGTAAAAAGTGACTACTTCAGGTAACTAGGGCAAATCAAAAGCAAGCAGAATCGATGCAGACCCTTCAACAAAAACGCATCGGCTCAATTTATTACACCCTACAATAGTTCACAAAGAACAGGTGGGAACAAGAGACATATCAAAGTAGATAGACAACTGTAAGAGAATAAGTAGTCTGAAGACAAAGGTTAGTGTGAATATCCGAACTCTAGGTGTTAAGGAGTGAATACATCTGCACTATTGTCACCGATCTTCGGTCATGCCGCCAAAAGTCCTCAACCATCAGTTCCTTTCGTCTCGAGGACCCAACCAAGTAGCCTACATCTCCATACGGCTCAGACCAACAGTAAGAGACTTCGTTGTTGACTGGTGCCAGATCTTCTTCTGGCCACCTTGAACCCTCTCCCAGCTCATCCTGGAATGACACGTCGAAGTGTGCGCAGTACATTCCCAAGCCATCTCAGTCGATGAAGGTTCACAACCTGTATTGTCTAGTATCCTTCACCTGACTTCAATGTTGCTCATATGGTGCTTTCACCAAACGCGAGCAATTCTACGAAGACACCTATGATCGAAACCCTGTAGTCGCTTCATGTCTTCTACTTTTAGCAGCCATGCCTCACAGTCGTGCATAAGGACAGAATGGATCGCAACGTAGTGTACTCGACATTTGATAGATAGTCGGGTGTCTTACCAGTCGGCAAGTGCCACACAGGTCTTGTGTTCGAGTTGAGGTCTCGTCAGCAACCAACCCGTCCGGGGTGATGCAACTCTCCAAGTAAGTGAAGTGTTCGACACATTGCCGATCATTAGACTGGGAGTACTTACAGCGGACCTGTCGAGGAGCATCATCTCACATTTGGCAGCGAGAAGAATGCCAAACATACTCAGATTTATGCTCAACACGTTCAAAACGTCCTGCATTTTGTCAGCATCTCCCAGCAGGACAATATCTCCTGCCAGATGACCGCCGGGGAGTAGGTCAATCCATGTGAAGTGAGAAGTATCTAAGGTTGTGTCCATTAGTACTTCTATGACCAAGTTAATTAGGAACGGTAGCAGCGAACATCCATGTTGAAGACCGCCAGTTGTGATGACAACTCTTCATAAGCCGTGGTACAGCTGCGTGAGTTCGAGTGGAGAGCTTTGATGAACACTGCAGACTTATTTTCACCCCAGGTATCCCGAGGATGAGCACTGTTGTCATGTTCAGATAAATCCTTTCCAAATAAATACTACGCGTCCTCATCTTCCAATCGAACACAGATAGGCCTCACTGCCTCCTGTGACAAGGCGTAGATATGCACTAGCTCTTAATAGCGCGTGATTGAATTCTAAACTGATACCTCATAAAGAGCGGCATACCTCCCCAACTATGGCTTACATGAATGTGACTTATCTGTACCCATCGTTGACTTGATGTCGACGGATGTCATGTGAGACAGCACTTCGTCCTATGCCTAAAGTTAGCTCTGGTAGAAAACGAGTGATTACTGGGACAAAATTGTAATATACAACCACCATTATTAGTTTGATGGCATGAGATTCCGTAAATACCTCCCAGATGCCTTTCTAAATGGCTCACCTTCCCTACTTGAGTGTTAAATTCACGTGCTATTATGACTACACTTTAACGGTTTGCTTTCTGTAGCGGAATTGACAGCTTTTCATAGAATTCATGCTCTGTATCATCCAAGCTACAGCTAGTGGGTGTGTAGGTGGAAATTACGGATAAGCATCGGTTGCTCTCACGATCCTTCCTAGTCCTCAGTCTAATTCAGTCGAACAGCACACAGACAGCTATATATAGTAGAAGTCTTACAACTAAACTTCCGGGTGATTAACGATGACCAATAGTTAACAGGTGTTGCGAAGTATTACCAAGATATAAGCAATTAATATAATTCGAACGAAATTTCTTAAGCTGAAGAAACATCTTTTGTAAACGGTAAGAACGTTTCATTGCAGTCCAGATGAAAACCACTGTATTGTTTACATCTTAGGTGCGTTCATGTACACACGCTTGTAATGTGCGACATAAACGACACTAACCGTTTTATAATAATATCTACGGACGAAAGTTCTGGACCGTAAAAAGTTGAGCTAAAAACGAGACATACCTCAATTTCACCAAACTCAATTATTTGCTTTGTGCTGAGCTGCATATTGCTAACGTCGATACTTAGATCATGGTACTTTGTGAATTTCTTTTTCTTCATTACTGTCTTCTTTTTCGATGTGGTTGAATCTTGAGTGTTTGGGGTCTGATTACAGTTGACGTCATCAGAAGGCGGATTAGAAGTATCTCCATTGCTAGAAGTCGTCACTTCCGTCTTTGAACTCGCTGATACATCGGTAGCAGAACTATCCTCATTAGAACTGACCTCAACTTCTTTCTCATACTCTTCTACTAACTGTGCTTGTGATATGTTGAAAATACCATGAGTATTCATTCGGATCTTTAATCTGACTTTATGAGGTTCTGTAGATAACTGAGAAGCGTCCCCTATTCTGAATGTCCCAATCAATACATTTTGGTTAGGCAAGAGATTTATATCTGCATATCGAGCTTCCAGTGTAAGAACACCACGTCGAGTCAGAACAATCTGACGTGAAGAAGGAATGGGATGAAGATGCGGAAACACTTCGATGCACATGTCTTTGCTCTGGGTCATTGCTGTACCATCGATTTCTTCTGTTTGCATGCACTGATCGCCACCTTCTTCTCGATCAACTTGTATCACAATAGGGTATAAGCATGGTTCAACTACACTGAAGTCTTTCACCTTAAAGGCTGGTGAGCAAATGGCCGCCTAAAATGGGAAAGCGGAAATAAGGTAACGTTACTGCTAATCTTCAAATGAAAATTCCTGTAAAACCATCAGATCCTAGGTCCGTACAACCAGCATTGTTGTTTCGACTTAATGCCCCTTCCCAAGTAGCTTACTGGCAACACCGTGAACTGCAGCTTTGAGCGACGCGGGTTGGGATTTTGGAAGGGATATCAGCCCCCTCGAGGTTGCGGATACGCCTCGTTGGCGAGTGCCAACAAGCACGAAACCCAGGCAGGGCTCCCTACCAGTTGCCTCCAACAAACTAACGCAAAGACTTTTACAGAGAACCACCCAGAGGTCTTGTTTTAAAGATAAAGCAGTGGCAAGTTTCCGTAAAGAACGGAACAGCTGGTGATGGTAAATCTTGATCATGAGTAAAATGAAAGCATGTTTACGATTCCCAAAAGAACTAGCCGTTTGGGAGGTGTGTAGTAATCCTCTCAAACTGACTATGCGGACCCTTTTGGAATACATAAAACCGAATCCTATCAATTTTTTGTGAAATCAAAATACACTTAGCAAATACGTTTGTCCGTGCAGTATGCTGTGAGCCACACGTATCGTGTAAGGGATAATATTACTTTGTTGCTCAAACCTCGGTTGGTGAAGCGATGTTTCAACCCATGACTCACTGATCGGGATTAGAGTGCCTGGATTACTGAGTAACATTTGCAGATGGTGTGGTATGATTGATGGCAGCGAAGTGGATGCATCGCGAAGATAACCCTTGGAGATTTCGTAAGATATCGTCGTTACTTCAACAGTTGTTAACTACTGACATCTTATTTCACGCTCAAATTATCTGTGATGCGATTTCTAAAGATACTGAATTAATGGTCTGTTACGTTTTTGACAGCGTGCAGCAGCCGTGCCGGCAGCCAAAATAGGAAATCTCGTCAGGTCACCAGCTGACATGTATATTGACCACACCTTAAATTATTTTACGGTACATTCTATGTCACAAATCACAGATCACTACTTCTAAAGGTAACCAATGTCAAAAATAAGATACAGCTAAAGAAAGCAATTCACTTTCGCGGACGACAACCAAGTTTGTTTACTATTATATTGATACTACATGTGAAGTTTTTTGGTGTCGGTATTTCTACTTTAATTACCTGGAAGGCGCATCCACGAGCAACGGCTTCGTCAGCATTTAGACTCATTTTCCCTTCCTGTTTGAAAACGGACAAGATGGCACTCTTTAACATGGGTATACGTGAACTGCCACCGATAAGTTCTACTGCATTCATGTCTTCAGCCTTCAACTTAGCGGTATCCAAACAGCGAGTGAGCATATCCTGGAAACGTTTAACCAAATCTGAGCACAGCTCTTCGTAGTCAGACCGCTTCATTTTATTAGCTAAATCACGTTCCTCCGCCAGACACTCGACGTTGATAGGTAATTCTGAAGAATTGGCGCTCATTGCCTTTTTAAGTTTTTCACACTCCTGAAGCAACCTGATGGTAGCCTTAGCTGATAGAGGTGCCTGCAAAGTGAATTATTTGACTACGAACCTACCTTCAATTTATACTGTTGCTGAAATTCCATCGCAAACTTATCATAAAGTTTTCTGTCGAAATCACGACCACCAAGAGAGGTATCGCAAACAGTCGCAAGGACTTTCATCTTGCCAGCATTAAATGCTGAAATACTGACTTGCGTAGCAGTATAGCCAACACTAACGAATGCGACAATCTTAGGAGGATTATCAGGCGAAGGCAAATCGGTGCTGTAAAATCCGTATGCAGTCCCGACTTGTAAAATATTAGACACGACAAACAGAACCTACCCGCTGTTAAGTCATTTACCAGTTTGACACAATTCAGCCCCGCTATTTTTGAGGCATCCAGTACCGATCTCCTTTCTGCATCCGTGTAGTAGGTTGGAACATTAACAACAACATCCACAACTTTCGAACCAATTGCATTCTCTGCAACTTCTTTGAGTTTATTCATCTGAATAGCAAGTATTTGTTCTGGGATCAGTGAAGTATTCACTCCATTTAAAACAACCTTAACATGGAAATATGAGTAAACCAAAAGCATACTGGGAGGGAGACACGACCATCACCGGCCTCCTCAATTTGATTCGTCAAGTGCTTCCTTTCATTAGCAATGGCGAAGTCCGAAAGACTTTTCCCAAGTAGCTGGGTAAAATTTGTGAATGTATTCTTGACATTCATAACATGTTGTAGTTTCGCTGCTGTACCTACAAGAGTGAGGTTTCCTGAAAACGCAACACAAGTACTTCAAGGTAGCATAGTCAACAAGTAAGGCGTAATAAACTTACGGCGTAGCTCTTTCACTGTACTCATTTGTTATCACCTCAATACCCCCACCTCTGGCAACACCAATATAAGAGGTCAGTGAGCCAATGTCGAAACCAACAACCGACACCGCCATGCTAACTAACAAGTACTTGGCAAACTCTCGAACAACAACGCGCTGTACGGTCTAGAAAACAATTCTAGATGCAGATGGTCAATTAAAACAAATCAATGCCAAAAAGTTTGAGTAACCAACTAAGTTACTATTCCGTAGTAATCCTCGTTTTCAAAGTAAATGTCTTTAAAATGTCTGTGTTATCCCGCACTAAGCGGACGGACAGAATCTAACCCTTTATCATTATTTGTCCCTTGGGTTCCTAATGGAACATACAGCACACCTCCATTGCACTCTATTCTCTGTAGTCTTTTCCACCTGGCTCCAAGACTGTCCAGAAGCTTTCTAGTCTTCACCACATGATCTCCTGCATGTCACCCTCGAATGCCTAACTGGTTTCCTATTTTGGGTTCCATTTGACGGCATGGCCTGGCCTATCACATGATGTCCCCGCACTGACTTCTCAGTGTTTGTCCAATCCTACCCATCTCCATTGGGTGATAGGTTCTTGGTTGGTCCGTTGACAGGCAGGAGTTCCTTATTGCTTTTTTGGCCGTCTAATCTTCAGTACCGAGCATAGGCAGCTGTTCATGAATATGTGTAATATGTTGGAAATGCTTTTCGCAGCGCTCTAATTTTCTGAACTATACAGAGGTAATGAATCGGCTGAATTAGTGTTGAAAATTCAGATCTTAGTCTTTGTGCTGTGTCCAGTAGGCCTCCACCCTTCAGTTGAAGACAGCAATGAGAAAGAAGAGGCTGCGATAAGGTATATTCCTGAGGCATTTACACAGGAACCTAAGACGGAGACTAACTTAAGTAAAGGGTCGTTGAAGCTCAAGAAGTTAGATATCAGGACTAACTTCTATTCCCTAAGAGCTACTCAACCCTCCAATGCTTATCGTGCAGACAAGTTCCGGGCAACTGTGCTAGTCTTTTAAACGCCAGCGTGGGATGTGGGTAGGATCTGCCTCGAACTTATTTAATTTTTGCATTTTAATTACCAGTTTTCCCCCTCCTTGCTTATAAGCAGGTCAGCAACCACAAGAAGTAGTGATCCACGGGACCAAGATGCAGAAGCCAGTAAAGTGAAAGCCTTTCTATTCCGTCCACAGTCACTTGAGCCCTTTGCAGTTGACTATATTGATGTACTCAGGACGTTAGGTCCTCTCGATGCAGCGGAACCAATGCGGCTGGATGGATTGTACCCCAGTCTTCTCGGAGAGCTTGTACTCCATGTAGCCGTCCCAGCGGCCAGTATATTTGGGCCGTTACTCAGTGAAGGCACGCCGTCCTACTACTGGCGCGACGCCTTGATCGCCGGTGTGTACAAGGCAAGTTCTGGATAACATCCATCGCAGGACAGGCTTGAAGTTCACCTTCAGGACACCAAAATGCAACTAAGGCTAAAACATAGTCCTAGATACCTAGGGACTTAAATAGATAGACTTACACCCAGGAAAGCACCTGCTTAACTTCGAGTATTCAGATGACACTGACTTGGTAAGCGAAGATGTTGACAAAATTTAGGGCATCTGAAAGCCCTGAGGAGGAATCGGCGCCACCTTCGGATGCCCTTTTGCACCTTCAAATGTGAGGTAATACTTCAAAACTGGTTAGCACCGATTGCTAGTTCAGGGATTTAGACTGAAGTAGCAGAATGCATTAACCGCTTCAGTGACTTGGAAAGTTGCGTCAGCTTAAATGGGTTGGTTGTTTACGAAATCTCAGCTTGGATAAAGAAGGTCCGTTTGGCGTTTGCCAACTTGTGTCATCTCTAGTGCAGGTAAGACATCTGACAAATTATCAAAGGGCGAGCAAACCGCGCACTAGTCTGTTTTGTTTGATTATACCGTTGAGAAATGCACCCATTGAAAGTGAAAGATATCATGAGATTGAAGGCCTTTGATCACTAGTATCTTTGAAGTGTTGCTTGCATATGATGATATTGTCATGTGAGCAATATCGGGGTTAGGTGGAGAGTACCAGGCAAAGAAAGCAAGTCAGGAAATGAAATTGCGAACTGTCATCAATTAAGGTGGCTGGGATGTATACTGTGCATTTGGAGGCACATTCTACCTTGTAAGCCAAAGTAGAAATGGGTTGAGAAAAGCTTCAGAGTAGCCGGACTAAGAAGTGGCATCAATCCATGAAGTCTTTAACCGTTGGTTTGGGTCGTGTAGGGAGGTGTGAGCCACCTGTCTTGAGTCCTCGAAATCGTAGAAATCGATGGTAGAAGACCCTTGGTGATGTACGTCTCACTCGGTCAAAACGGCGCAAATACATTCACTCTTTCACGATATCGAAAGTTTTAGAAGTTTTCCCTGACCTTTAAATTTTCTAATTCCTTCTCCAATGAACTTTTGTCTTACATAATATCACTCTTTTTCACTCACTTTCCCCTCACATGTTACTATTGGCAATTCTGAATGTTACACTTTTGTGTGGGTCTCTATGTTCATTTTCCCGTTAGTCAGTGGTGCATTTCCGAAGATGTTTTCTGATGTACAGCTAGTTAAAAGAAGTATTTGACTACTCACCTTTGAGCCACACGTTTCGAACTACTTTAAATGTTTTGGTTTGAGTGAATAGAATCTGTAGCGTCACACACTTCCCCAAAATCAATAGCCTAGGGTTTGACGACTTCGACATTGATGCTGACCTTGATAGTTTAACTGGACTCGCTAAGCTGAAGGCACCCGGTCAAGCATCCTCGCCATTTGGCACGCTGTCGTGTTACGTTGCATTGCTCGTATTCGACTCTCTAGCCAGTTAGTTGGAACGCATCGGTATTTTGGCATAACCATCCAAATATACTATTCCATCCGACTACGCTATCGTGTTCTTCCTTGGTCTCGTATTCGTGGGTATATAACAAGTTCGAATAATTAGTGATTGGTCTTTGCGTCTGTCAAGTTCGCACCAGGACAAATCCTAAATTGGTGAGCCCGACGTGATCACATATCCCGACCAATAACAAGTATTGAATTGGTGAGCCTGTTCCATTTTATATTTGTTTATTGTTTTCATTTCGATAACATTTATATATCCATTTACTACACTTTCTCATGTCCGACCACACTCCCAAGCTTATTCGTATTAAGCCGACTCGAACACGATCCAACTCGTGCCATATTGGCCAGACAATGCAGAAACATGGTTTCTGTATGCCGAGGCCGATTTTCGAGAACAGGGTGTCTCAGATCCTCAATCTCGATTTCTTGCTGTCATACGGTCACTACCGCGAGAATTAAACAGGTATGTTACAGCAAACATGTTTAATCCTGAAGTAAGTGACCCTTATGCACTTCTAAAGGCCGCACTCTTGAAGAAAAGCGATCTCACAGATCGCCAACGTCTAGACGAATTGCTTCGTAACATCGAGCTAGGCAGCCACTCAGCTACTGAAGTCCTCGCACGCATGCGAGAAGTAATCGGTGCACGAACATTTGACGATGGTTTCTTCCGAGAACTATTTCTCTCGAAACTACCACAACCGGTGCAAACCGTGTTGGTGACACTCCAGTCAGTCCCACTCGACGACCTGGCAGCCTCAGCAGATAAAATACTGGAGATATCCAGCAGACCCGTCTCCAACGTATATTCTATCTGCGACAAACAGAGCGCCAGGATTCAGAGGTGACCAAGTTGTGCAACTCTGTGAAACGGTTGCTACGATCTCGAAGTCCTAGATCACGTAGCACTTCACAGAAACGCACCTTGGCGCATCGCAGCAAGTCGCGTGGTAGCCCTAAAACGAAACCCAACAGGGTGGAAAACCCTGAATGGTGCTGGTTTCATAACACTTACGGGGATGAAGCCAGAAAATGTCGTAAACCATGCCGTTTTAAGAAGGACACAAACTCGGGAAACGGTCACGCCGGCACGTGCTCACGGCAACCGTAGCCGGCGGAAAAAGCCGTTTGCTCTACGTCACCGACATTAAAACGAAAGTCCGCTACCTCGTCGACACCGGCGCAGAAGTTAGCGTTCTTCCAGCAACGACAAAGGAGCGTCATCTTGACCCATCCTTCAATCTTCAAGCAGCCAACGGCAAGGCAATCGCGACATTCGGGAGACGGTATGCCTACCTCAACTTAGGTTTACGCAAACCTATTCACTGGATTTCCTCCTGGCAGACGTCTCTATGCCCATCATTGGCATAGATTTGCTAAACCATTACGATCTACTCGTAGATGCTCGCCGTCGACGACTGATAGATAACACACAAAGTTATCTATTGGCGGCACCACCTATGTAGGTCCGAGTTTAGCCATCGTTAGGACTAAACAATCAGGCGACGCGTCCTACCAGGCAGTTCTGGAGAAATATCCAGAGTTACAACAACCGAAACACACTCTTCCGTGCATAACCAGCAATGTTATGCATCACGTCACAACCACAGGTCCACCTGTGGCATCCAAAGCGCCGTTTAGCCCCCGATAAGCTGCAAACGGCGAAAAATGAATTCGACCAATGCTCGAACTGGGCATTATCAGACCGTCAAACAGTCCTTGGGCATCGCCATTGCACATGGTTCCCAAAAAGGATAGCAACGACTGGCGTCCGACCGGTGATTACCGAAGGCTTAACGCCAAAACAACTCCGGACTGCTACCCTATACCCACGTTTACGACTTGACCGCAACCTTATGCGGCATGAACATTTTCTCGAAAATCGACTTGGTCAAAGCGTACAACCAGATACCTATGGCAGCAGAAGATATCGCGAAAACAGCCATTATTACTCCTTTTGGCCTGTTTGAATTCCTGCGCATGCCTTTTGGTCTTCGGAATGCAGCACAAACATTCCAACGCTTTATGGACGACGTCTTCCGTGGTCTGAATTTTGTTCATGTCTACATCGATGACTGTCTAATTGCGAGTCCAGATAAGGAAACACACCTTAAACATTTGGACCTCGCATTCGAAAGACTCAAAAAACATGGCATCACAGTTAACTTACAGAAGTGTGAAATAGGAGTTGAATCACTCAGCTTCCTTGGGCATACCATTGACAACAAAGGTATACGCCCATTGAGAGATAAAGTGGCGGCTATCACAAACTATCCAGAGCCGACCACTGTGAAACATCTC